TTCTCATACCTTCTACCTATAGATTCATATGCTGATTCTTTTTGATAATTCTAACTGCTAGATATGTGTTCAGCTTCCTATTTCCAGGTCTTCAGGATTGACTTGATGGGTTTTCCCCATACAAGGAACAGTTTGGAAACAACTGGCTACAACAAGTCTCTCCTAAGTACCAGTTCCAAACTGGCCTTCAGACCTATTCTGAATTCCTAAGGGAATGAGACCCATTCTGTCTACTAAAGTTCCAGTCGTCACTCTTACCTCTAACCGGACCAAGGAATTGAGATCTTAATCATATAAGACTTGGATCCAGGATGTGGAACTCAAATATGTCTAATTTGGTATCTACTGCCCCCAAATTAGGCAGGACTATGCCCCATCTGAGCAGGAAGTAGTCAGAACAGTCATCACCCACTTCCCTGAAAGATTTGGGGAAAGATAAAAACCGAAGTAAGGATTAAAACCAAGTCTCCCTAAAACAGGGTTCCTCCGTTTATGATTAACATCTCTATCCAAAATGATTGCTCCCTTTCTTGTCCAATATCTGTCCTCAAGATTGAGGAATATCAAAGAAAAGGGTGGAGTGAAACTGAGTGAGGCCCTGTGGGGCTCCCAGGCTTGGAGGCCCTTTTGTCTCCCATTTCTTGTAGGCAAGACTCCAGCCTCCACGACCTTCCCTGAGTTCCAAAGGGCAGATTCGAACAGAGAAATGCAGTTTTCTTCGAGGTCAGGAGCCCACTGTGTCCCCCTTTGCTTGGCAAAGAAACAAAGCTATCCTCTTCTACTTCACCCCCCCCCCAAAAAAAAGAACAAAATTAAAAAGCAAACGACAAACTGGGAAAATATTTGCAGTAAATATAACAAAACTCATATTTTATATTATATTCACGTGATAACTATAACAAACTCAATAAACAAATACTTATTGAAAGAGCCCAATCAGTTACTGTGCATTGGGAATATATACTGATGGTAATAAAAGCAAATGACCAGAACAGGTAACTACAGAAAAAAAGACAAATGACTAGTATCACTATGAAAACAATGTTCAATCTAAGCAGTAATCAAATAAATGCAACTAAAACTAATAATGAGATACTAACTACTCCTATCAAATTTATCCAATATTTAACAAGTAAATCTGGTAAGGGTATAGTAAGAAAAGACATGTTCATACATTGTTAGGTGGGGCTACAAATTGTTATCTGATTTCTGGAAAGAAATCTGCAAGTGAGTATGATGGCCTTTAAAATGTTGATGCCTTATACTCTAGTAGTTTTATTTCTAGGGAATCTAGCTTAGGAAATTAGTATGAAATTGAGACAAAGCTTATATACAAAGATAGTCATTTTGCATTATAGCAAAACAAACAAACAAAAAACCAAGAAACGACCTAAATTTCTAATTATAGTCAAATAAATGATACATGTACTCATTAGGATATGTAATATATAATCTAACAAAACTGTTTCCAAAAAATGCTTAATGTCATAGAATAATGTTCATAATATTCTGCTTAGTGAAAAAAGATGATCTTAGCTCAAAAGAATATGAAAAAAGCAGAATATCTCAAATTATAAAAATATGTTTATATATATTTACATAGGTTTAAATGTAGGAAATTGTCCAGAAGGAAATACAAAATATGGAAGGTGGCTATCTCTGCGTGTTAAGACTGAATGATTTTATTCTCTTAATTCTCTATAATAATCATATACAACATTAATAATAAAAATTATTAGAAATTTAAAGCCACAAAACAACACAAAGTAATTATACAAAACATTTTTTTTTCTTTAAGGCCACACCATGCAGTTTGCAGGATCTTAGTTCCCCAACCAGGGATTGAACCCACTCCCCCTTAGCAGTGAAAGCAGAGTCCTAACCACTGGACCATGAGGGAATTCCCAAAAAGTACTTTTACATATTGTTTCACTGAATTTTAACAAAAGCCTGTTAAGGTGTATAACTGAAGAAACAGGCTCAGAGAAGTTAAGTAACTTGACAAGGTCACTTTAGAAATAAGCTGAGGAGCCAGGATTAGTCAATCAATGTGACCCGAATAGCTATAATGGTCTAACACTGAGAACACAAAGATAAATGACAAGGTTTCTGCACTCAAGGAACTTGAGTCCAGTAGAGGAGAGAGACAAGAGTGCAATAGAAAACTACTAGAGCTAATCAATGAATTTGATAAAGTAGCAGGATACAAAATTAATGCACAGAAGTCTCTGGCATTCTTATACACTAATGATGAAAAATCTGAAAGTGAAATTAAGAAAACACTTCCATTTACCATTGCAACAAAAAGAATAAAATATCTAGGAATAAACCTACGTAAGGAGACAAAAGACCTGTATGCAGAAAATTATCAGACACTGATGAAAGAAATTAAAAATGATACAAATAAATGGAGAGATATTCCATATTCTTGGTTTGGAAGAATCAACATTTTGAAAATGACTCTACTATGCAAAGCAATCTACAGATTCAATGCAATCCCTATCAAACTACCACAGGCATTTTTCACAGAACTAGAACAAAAAATTTCACAATTTGTATGGAAACACAAAAGACCCCGAATAGCCAAAGCAATCTTGAGAAAGAAAAACAGAGCTGGAGGAATCAGGCTCCTGGACTTCAGACTATACTACAAAGCTACAGTAATCAAGACAGTATGGTAATGGCACAAAAACAGAAAGATAGATCAATGGAACAGGATAGAAAGCCCAGAGGTGAACCCACGCACATATGGTCACCTTATCTTTGAGAAAGGAGGCAAGAATATACAGTGGAGAAAAGACAGCCTCTTCAATAAGTAGTGCTGGGAAAACTGGACAGGTACATGTAAAAGTATGAAATTAGAACACTCCCTAACACCACACACAAAAATAAACTCAAAATGGATTAAAGACCTAAATGTCAGGCCAGGTACTATAAAACTCTTAGAGGAAAACACAGGCAGAACACTCTGTGACATAAATCACAGTAAGATCCTTTTTGACCCACCTCCTAGAGAAATGAAAATAAAAACAAAAATAAACAAATGGGACCTAATGAAACAGAAAAGCTTTTGCACAGCAAAGGAAACCATAAACAAGACAAAAAGACAACCCTCAGGATGGGAGAAAATATTTGTAAATGAAGCAACTGACAAAGGATTAATCTCCAAAATTTACAAGCAGCTCATGCAGCTCAACAACAAAAAATCAAACAAACCAATCCAAAAATGGGCAGAAGACCTAAACAGACATTTCTTCAAAGAAGATATACAGATTGCCAACAAACACCTGAAAGAATGCTCAACATCATTAATCATTAGAGAAATGCAAATCAAAACTACAATGAGATATCATCTCACACCAGTCAGAATGGCCATCATCAAAAAATCTAGAAACAATAAATGCTGGAGAGGGTGTGGAGAAAAGGGAACACTCTTGCACTGCTGGTGGGAATGTGAATTGGTTCAGCCACTATGGAGAACAGTATGGAGGTTCCTTAAAAAACTACAAATAGAACTACCATATGACCCAGCAATCCCACTACTGGGCATATACCCTGAGAAAACCATAATTCAAAAAGAGTCATGTACCAAAATGTTCATTGCAGCTCTATTTACAATAGCCCGGAGATGGAAACAACCTAAGTGTCCATCATCGGATGAATGGATAAAGAAGATGTGGCACATATATACAATGGAATATTACTCAGCCATAAAAAGAAACGAAATTGAGCTATTTGTAATGAGGTGGATAGACCCAGAGTCTGTCATACAGAGTAAAGTAAGTCAGAAGGAGAAAAACAAATACCGTATGCTAACACATATATATGGAACCTAAAAAGAAAAAAATGTCATGAAGAATCTAGGGGTAAGATGGGAATAAAGACACAGACCTACTAGAGAATGGACTTGAGGATATGGGAAGGGGGAAGGGTAAGCTGTGACAAAGTGAGAGAGTGGCATGGACATATATACACTACCAAATGTAAAATAGATAGCTAGTGGGAAGCAGCCGCATAGCACAGGGAGATCAGCTAGGTGGTCTGTGACCACCTAGAGGGGTGGGATAGGGAGGGTGGGAGGGAGGGAGATGCAAGAGAGAAGAGATATGGGAACATATGTATATGTATAACTGATTCACTTTGTTATAAAGCAGAAACTAACACACCATTGTAAAGCAATTATACTCCAATAAAGATGTTAAAAAAACAAAAAAAGAAGCGCAATACATGTTATGGACTCTAAGGTAGGGACAAGTTCAGGTTTCAAAGGAATACATAGAGCAAAGAGTGGTCAGTTTTACCTAATTGGGGTAGGAAAGTTTTAAGTGGCAACTTGTGAGAAGGTAATCAACAGATAAAAAAAAAATGGTAGAAAAGATGGAAAGAGTGTTGCAGACAGAGGGAGACAAGATTTAGTGACTGACTGGATATAGCAAAAATAAAAGAAGAAGAAGCAATCTAAAATGACTCCCAGATTTCAAATTCGTATGACTGGGTAGAAGGTAGAGGCACTCGATGAGACAGAGAAAACAGGAAGAAGAACACATTTCAGGAGAAAGATGATGAGCTTGATACTAGGTTTGAGATATCTGCGGAGCCTTCCAGGAGAAAACGTGTATCATGCTCTTGAATTTATGGGTTTGGAGCTCAGGAAAGAATAACCAGGCTAAAGATAAAGTTTTAGTTGTTATGAGCATCTAGGTGGCAGCTGATTCCATGGGAATAAATAAGATCAGGCAGGAGGTCATGTATAGGGAAGGAGAGCAACCAGCGTAGGAACCCAGGAGTACATTGGTACATAAGGATGGGCAGAGATTGAGGAGGAACAGTAAGAGAGGTAGGAAGAAAACACAGTCTTAAAATCCAAGGAAGAAATGACTTCCTGTTTTATTTTAATTAACGGGATATTTGTGTCACCATAAGTATTTTCAGCAGAAGGAAAAATAAATGAACAGCAGCTATGATTACAAATATAACTAGAAGAATACTTCATTCCTTACTTCATCTCTGCTGATGAGTTCATTGGAAAAAGTAAGTCCAGGCATAAGTCCTCTTTTCTTTAGCCAGAATATAGCAGCAAAAGATCCCGAGAAGAAAATTCCTTCTACAGCAGCAAAGGCCACCACCCTTTCCCCTGGGAGACAAAAAATAGTTTCACTTTCTGAAATATCATATACTGCAGACATTTTCAAGCTTATATATGTATAATATATACTTTTACATATATTTTTTAATAATAATATCACAACTGTTTTGCCAAGAAACACAATCAACAAGTTAGTGCCGCGGCCAAGTCTTCAGAGGAGAAAGTTTGCCAACTCTACCTACTAGAGCAGAAAGGTATGTCAACTTCAGGTCTTATGTCCAACACTGGACTCCTGCAGGTCTTGGAATGTGGACAAAGGAGAGCCTTCCACACGCAAAAAAAGAGGTGATATATCTGTGCACCACACGTGCCTGTGAGTGCAGGTACGTGTTTGTTTCTTTTTCTTTGTTTTTGTTTTTTTTGCAGGTACGTGTTTGTGAATGCAATATGTACATACATGTATGTTTGACCACTATGCTCTGTTGACCCTTTTGAAAAAAAATAGCTCTTTAGACTAGTGACTTATTTGTTTTAGGATGGAGATTTATCATTAATTTAACATAGATTACTATATTTTCATCTTGTTATTAATAAGATAATAGGTATAATTGATTCATTTTTAATTGACATAAATGTGATGTCATGTGAATGTTCATCTATAAGGGAACTAGACTATAATTTTATACAAACTGTGAATAAGAGGAACATTGTCATTTTAACTATTCTATGCATTCACATGAATGCTCCAGAATGAAAATCATAACAGAAATAATTACAGAAGGCTATTCTTTTTGGAGAGGATTAAAGGATTATGAGGGGTAAATTTTACAAATTTTCAAGAATAGATGTGAGCTACAAATGTTCCAAAACATTTCTTCTAAAAGCTATAATGAATTGTAAAGGCCTCATGATTTTAGAGATAGGAAAGTAGGATGTATTTTTAAGATACAGCTAACCTCTATGATGCAATGCAATAAGATTGTGTAACTCATACTTATTTTGATGTTTGAAATGTAATTTCATTACGTATATTAAGGTTGAATCTATATATTTAATGTTTTAAAGTTCTTTAAAGATATTTTTAAAAACTAAGCAGTATATCTCACTTTTTTAAAAAACTAAGCAGACTGTCACAGGATGACTGCCACCCTCCTCTATTTTCTCTATTTCTAGGTTACTTCTTTGGTAGTATCATGAAAGACATGCTTTCTGTGAGCCTGTCCATCACTTTCTATCCACACTAATCTTTTCAGTGCATATTGAACACCTTGACGTTTCCCTTTGTTTTTCTCTAAAGCCAATGTTTCTCAAAATGTGCTTCTCAATCCACTTGTGAGAAAATCAGCTGGGTATAAAATGCAGATCACTCTCTGGTGAGGACCAGGAATTGGCAGGATTTTTCCACAAATTCTCCAGATGATTTTATGCACACTGAGAACTACTGCTTTTCTCATTCTTGAAATGAACTGAAAGCAATGCAGACATATATGTTTCTTCCCTGATACACTACATCTTGCCCATATCTTACACTACATCACTGGTTCTCGACGTGTGGTCCAGGGATCCCTGGAGATCCACAGACCCAAGAGGTCTGTGAAGTCAAAACTATTTTCATAGTAATAATAAGGCACTATTTATCTTTTTTACCATCATTCTCTCATGAATATACAGTGGTGCTTTCCAAAGGCTACACAACATATTCACAACAATCTGAAAAGCCTGGTAAAATACTTCTCTTTTTCTAACTACATATCTGAAGGAGGTTGGATTTTCTTTATATACTTCAACCAAAACAACATTCTGCAACAAACTGAATGCAGAAGCAGATATAATCCAGCTATCCTCCTATTAAGTCAGACATTAAAGAGATTTGCAAAAATAAAAAACTAGGCCATTCTCATTCCAGTGAGAATGGAATGGCCAAAACTAGGCCATTCCAATTTGGGGGAAAAATACAGTGTTTCTTTTCATAAACATACATTATTTATTTCAAAATGCAATGGGTTATTACTGTTAATTTAATATGCATTAATAATTAAATATTTTGAAAGTTTCTTGGCTTTAATTTCTAATATGAAAATATCAATAGATATAACCAGTCCTCAATAAATTTTAAGAGTGCAAAGGAGTACTTAGACCAAAGATTTTGAGACCTCTTTCTCCACATGATGAATAAAACCAGAAAGTAAAGACAACCAATTGTGAAATAAATAAGAATAAGAAAGGTACTTAGAGCTATTTAAATTAAATATCTGAATATTTTAATTAAATGTAATAAATATTTATTAACCAACTACTGTATTATAAGAAACAATGTTAATCGCTTCCATAAAAAAATGTTATTGGATCTCAACTCACCCAAAAGGGTGTCTGCGTTTAACTTATCTGTGAAAAATAAGCCTGTTATTGCAAACTGTTTCTTGCCTTAGTTGAGTGCACTAATTTACATATTTGTTCCCTGAAAAATGTTAAGACTTTGACTTGCTTTATTTTAGGGAAAATAAACATTACTGAAAGCATATAGTCTTGCTCTAATATTCTTGTCAGAGTCTATGTGACTGATTCTTATTTACCTGTAATTATGTGCTGACATTTAACCTTTCAACTTTCAATTTAATAAACAGAATAGATAACAGATTTAGACTACTCTTTCACCAGTTTCTAATTAATTCTTAGGAATAGTGATACTACACCATGTAAAATAGCATTGTATAACCCAAGGCAAATTTGATCATATATAAATTAAAGCTACATACCAAAAGTAGATTTTCTATCTGCTATCCATCGCAAGGCCCAATCTGCTTTTTTCTTAACATATGGCATTGTTTCAATTGCATTAAATAAAAATTCCCTGTAAAAACAAAAGATTAATGGCAAAGTTACTCATTTGGTTTTTTGGGTTTTTTTTTTTTTTTTTTAATCTTTGGCTGCACCACACGGCTTGCAGGATCTTAGTTCCCTGACCAGGGATTGAACCCCGGGCCCTCGGCAGTAAAAGCGCCAAGTCCTAACCACTGGACCACCAGGGAATCTCCAATTCACTTGTTTTTAATCAGACTATATTTGATTCTATGCAATTCTATGGTATGCAACAGACCTGTAGTTTTTCTGTATTTTTGCATGTCCATAAAATATAGAAGTGAAAGTAAAACTCAAATTAGTGCTTTGGATCTGGTCTTATACAAAATTGACTAAATTAGAATATTTAATTTCTAAACAGAATGTGCGAACAGTTTTTTAAGATATACTATCCAAAGATTTACTGGTCCTATACAAGTTTTTTTTAATCTAACACATTATTAAGCAATAGAAAATATTGTACTCCTAAACTTCCATATTTGAATAACCTTTCCCTAATATTTAGTTCCCTAATATTAACATAATCAAGTAATAGGATAAACCTTTGTAAATAAAATCCCAGCAGTAATACCTTTTCTTAGGATCTCTGATGTAAGTGTCTATTAGCAAACTGTACATCTCTGAGTGAACATTTTCGATGAGAATTTGAAAGCCATAGAAACAGCGAGCCTCTGGAACCTGCACCTCCTGACTAAAGCGCTCCACCTAAGAAGATAAGGGAAACAAATACATCCAATTCTATGGGCTCTCATTAAACACTGCAAATCAGAATCTGGACATCAGAATTATCACTTAAAAATCACCTGTCATGCCACAGACAGGTCAGAAAGACCTTATGAATTATTTTAAGCAGTACTGCTTAATCCATCAACCCTCCACAATTAGTTGCATACTATATTCTTAAGCAATTAAATAAACTGACCTATTAGGTGGAGATACTACCTATAAAGCCAAATAAATTTTAGAACATCTACCAAAAATAATTATTTTGCTTTGTAGAATTGACCTTAAGTAGATCTACTGAAGCCCCTACAAGCTTATAATGAAAGTTTGCATTTTCCCATTCTTTTTAATAAGAAAGCATGCCTTCTAACCAACCATAATAGAAGTTTAAAAATGGGAAGCCAGACCCAGTGCTCTATTGCAGAGCTCTGGAAAGATTATTAAGGTGCAGGTTCTCTATTAGGGTTACTATCTAAGGGTAAAATCAAACTCATGCTTATGCCTTGTAAGTAGTTTTGATTGGTACAATATGCTTGATTTCATGATATTTTGGGGGGTCAAATAACAGAAATGTATCCTTGCCTCTGACACTTCATCAGAAAAAATTTTTCAAGAGTTAAGTTCATTTCTTAGACATCATTTTTCAGACTCAGTCTGATTATCTTACCACCATTACTATCATTTAACTGCTGAATGAGAACAAAAGTGGAAACAAAAATCTTACCAAATTTTCATTCACAATTCCATCACTGGCTGCAAAAAAGGCTAAGATGTGAGAGATAAAATACTTCTCTTCTGATTTAAGCTTGTTCCAGTGAGGGAGATCTTTTGATAAATCAACCTGAAATAAAAAGATTTTCAAAAGCTTTAACTTATATTCTTAAAGTATGGAAAACTGACTTCCATTTCAAAGTTAAGGTGGGAAATCTCATTAGCAGTATAATGTGAAAAAGAAAAAAATTTCATCATTCTTGCTATAGACTGAGTATTTGTGTCCTCGCAAAGTCGATATTGAAACCTAATCCTCAATGTGATGACATTTGGAGGTGGAGCCTTTAGGAAGTGATTAGGTCACCCTCATGAATGGCATTAGTGCCCTTATAAAGAGACCTCAGAGAGCGCCTTTGCCCCTTCTGCCATGTGAGGACATAGCAAGAAGACAGCTGTCTATGAAACAGGAAGCAAGCCTTCACCAGATATCAAATCTGCAGGCACCTTGATCTTAGAATCACCAGCCTCCAAAACTGTGAGAAATAAATTTCTGTTGTTTGCAAGCTATCTACTCTGTGATATTATTATAGCAGCTCAAACTAAGACAATTACAAAGGAACAGAACAAAATTAAAACATTATGAAGACATCTATCTTCTAGCTAATTGAGAAGCTGGCCAGGATGTCCTTTCAAAATATTAAAATTAACCTATTCTCACCACAAAAAAGAAATGGTAACTATGTGATGGGATACAGGTGTTAGCTTATACTATGGTGGTAATCATTTTGCCATACATAGAAAGCAATACGTTGTACACTTTATACCTACACAATGTTATATGTCACCTATATCAATAAAGCTGGGGGGAAAGCCAAAATCTGGAAGCAATTAAGGAAGGGGCAAAATGGGAAGAGAGAGTAGAAACAGTCAAGAAGGAACTGAGGTGAATAAACTAATGCCTTTCAGCAGCCATTTCTTTAACATTTTATACGTATTTATCTTTGTGTTAGACAGATAACTAGACACTTGTTAAGCAATTGTAGCTGCTACCTTACTGCTGACTAATCTACTTTTATACCCAGAAGTAATGTCAGGCACGTAACAATCTGAATCAAGGCTTCGATGATCAGGCATATTTAGGAATAAAGCTAAATCACTGATAAAACAATGAAATCTAGAGTTGATTAAACTGTAACTTACATAATTTGTTTAAATGAATAATATGTGGAACTAAAAATGTGTTTGACTTCCCAATTATGTATTTGAATCTTTCTATCAGCTGTCTATAAAACATGTACCAACTTTATATTTTTTTTAAAAAATTAGTGTTTTTTAAGTCATAGTACTACACATATTACATTTCCTAAAAGATGCAGGAAATTTTTTGATGAATTAAAAAAACCCAGGTATCACAAGTACTTTTTTAACATGATGAATGAAAAAGCCACCTATGTACTCCGTTTGTTCTCTTAACCACATCTCACAAAAAACTTTCTAAAAACCACAGTTAGAGACAGTCCGGTGTGCCTAGCACTATGGTCCAATTTGAAAATGCTGAGTTTGGGTTTGGGTTGGTTTTCTGCTCTACATGTCAACTACAATATAACAAAGATGTTAATAACGTTAACAAATAAAATAACAAAGATGGGTAGGTGGGTAAAATCAGTGTAACAGAAGCTTCAAAAATTGGCGCCTTCTGATTTCTGGTATAAATCTCCCCCATTCTGTGTAAAATAATAGCTTACATTTATTTGGTGCTTGCTAAATGCCAAGTAACATTCTACACATCTAATTAATCCTAACAACCAGAACTAGGTACTATTAGCCCAATTTACTGATGAGGACACACAGAGAGGTTTCACAGAGCAACTTTGCCAGTGGCACAGCTAGTACGTGGTAGAGCCAGGATTTGTACCTAGGCAGCCTGGTTCCAGAGTCTGCATTCTCAACAGCATATGTAAAGAGTCAATTTCTCAAAAAACAGGTAAATATACAGACAGATAGATCCAAATATATCTAAACAAATAGATATATCTATCTATATAGATAAATATGCACACACAGAGAACAGAGTGCTATACAGGTATCATCCATTGTATTCAAAAATGAAGACAATGATTATTTGCAGACTATGGAGCAACCGCTTGCATGACCAACTGCCCTTTTACCAAACCAGTGAGGATCTTCTGATTTGCTGTGTTCAACTCATTTCCTAGGCGGAAATTGCCACACTACAAGAAAACATTCCACAGCTGTCCTGTCTGTTGGCACAGCTGTGCCAGGTTTGATGTGGCTGAGGGCAGGGCCAGGCTGGGAGGAGCACTGTGAATTCAGGCCAGCACCTCAGAAGCGAGTGCCCTGCCCAGGCAAACTCCCCATGTGACAGCTCCTTCTGCACCATCAGATAAGCCTCTCATCTGAAAGGAGGGTCTCTAAGGCTTTCACTATTTCATGCTTTAGCTATGGCTGCAATTTTATTTATTCCACTAACCATAAGTAAAGACTAGTCTTATTTGGTCACAGCAAACCAAAACTCTGTTTAAAAATGGAAAATGTTCTGAAATATATTGGAGGTAAAATTCTGGCAGACTGAGATGACATTTTGCAGCAGAAAACATGTTTATAGACAGTAATCTAAACACAAAACATTGGAGAACCCTGTATTTAGTATTTAGTACTATTTAGTACTAATAGTATTTAGTACTATTTAGTACTTAGTACTATTTAGTACAAATAGTATTTGTATTTCAAACATTATCTTATACAACTGATCTTATTCAATGTACCTTATAATGTAAGTTAAACATTTTTAATGTCCTGCAACAGAAAATGTGAACACTGCACCAGAGAACATGTTTGCTGATGACAGTGCTGTTACTTACCTCTTCTGCTGTCCAGAAGGATGCCTGTGCCTGTTTATACATTTTCCAAATGTCAGGGTACTGGATTGGAAAGATGACAAATCGGCGAGAACTCTTTCTTAGGAGTGGCTCTTCATTTGACTTTGCTTCATTTTCGTTGGTATCTGAAGATAACCTCTGTGAAAAATAAAGTACAAGCACCCATTTCATGGAGAGATTTCCTCTTTATTCACATCTAAACACACATCTGGGGAAGTTCGGGAGACAGCATCGTTTTGGGAGCCAGTGTCCCCAGCTTGAATCCTTACTGTTATGTGGTAGCTGGTTAATGGTGTTTGCTTAGTTGTGTGGCTATAGGAAGTTCCTTAACTTCTCTGAGCCTTGGTTTCCTCATCAGTAAAATAATACCTACCTTAGAGGTTAATTGTGATGATTACAAGTGTTTTCAACAGAGTCTGGTGCATAGTAATCTCTCAAAATATTATTGTCATTATTGTTACTTTGAGGATAAGTATAAAATTAGACCCAAAAACGTCACAGTGGGCAAATTTCTAAAGTTGTGGACAAAATGTCCCTTCAGTGCCTCTCACAGAGACAAAATGCTGGCATGAATAGGCTACTGTTATGAGCTACTTTTTAAATTTTAATGTTTTCTTTTCTAATATTAACTGAAATTATAATACTTAGCTGAAAACTCCTTACCAAAAACTTAGCAGCCTTTGTTTGTCTGACCCTTCCCATGTACCAACTGGTTTTTGCTATTTACATGTTAACATTCCTTTACTGCATATGGTCTCACTGGGGCTGTCTCAAAGCTCTATGGGATAAAGTAAGAAACACATACCTAAATACATACTGCTTGGAAAGAGGATGGCACTCTAAAAGGGGACAGTGTCATATATGTGTGTGTGTGTGTGTATATATATATATTTTTTAAATAACCAGCAAGAGAGCAGAGACCAGTTTTTATATATTGTGGTGTTCCCAGAGTACTGTGTCAAGTGTAATATCAATAAACATTAGCTAAGTAAGTGAATGGGCTGTTAATTTCTCTTTACCTTATGCTCAGATTACCGGGTACCTTTAGATTTTTAAAAATTTAACATAAGACCACAATACATTAGTGAAATAACCTAATAACCACTCAAAGCAAGCCTCCTCTGAGTGCCCTCACACTTCCTCCCCCCCCCCCACATCCTCTGAGTGCCCTCCCACTTCCCCCCCCCCCCCACCTACACCAAAGCCTGGATTAGGTGCCTAACATAGCACATAGCTCATTGCAATTTAATTCCCTGTTACTTCTCTACAGTCTCTTCTAGACCATGCTTCTTAACGGCAAAAACCAACTTTACACGTGTGGAATCCCTAGAGCCTAGCATAGTACCTGGCACTTACTCAATATTCATTCCACAAATATTTAAGCAAATTTTTAAAACGGAAGTGGTCAAGTTTTTTGTTTGTTTGTGTTGCCATTGAGGGCTCTGCAATCTCAAAGAAGACGTAAGATCCTGACACTGCAGTTCCAGGCTCTAGAACAGGAGATACACATAAGAGCATGTCCTCTGGGTCCGGTATTGAGGCTGCTTTTGAACTGTCACCACACAGATGCTTTATATACCTTATTCTGCTTAATCTGTACAAGTCAGTCAAATAGTAACAGTATTCCCATTTTACAGTTGGGACAACTAGGTCTTGAAGTACGTAAATAACATACCCAGGATCCCACAAGTGGTAAGTGGCAGAAATAGGATTAGAACTGAGATAGGTCTGAACTCAAAGCCTTGCCTTAAACTACATCTCTGTATGTATGGATGGCAGCTAGTAGGGCCAGCCTACATCTAAAAACCAGAATTCAAAACAGTGAGAGAACTAAAGTTAAAAAGAGTATACACTACAATTAACCCTTGAACAACACAGGTTTGAATTGCACAGGTCCACTTACATGTGAATATTTTCCAATAAAAACTACAATACTATTCCATCCACAGTTGGTTGACAATCAATGGGTGCAGAACCATGGATACAGAGTGCCAACTGAAAAGTTATATGTGGATTTTCAACTGAACCAAGGGTCAGTGCCCCTAACCCCCAGGTTATTCAAGGGCCAACTGTAATATCTCCTACTAAGCAAAATTAATTTAACAAATGGTACTGATGTAACCAGTGAAATGACAGGAGGAGGAAATCACCAAATTTGATTTTAGGAAAAAGCAAGAAAAATAAAAATGATTTCCTTATAAATAAAGTTGAAAGAACCAAAGTGATCCTTTGGTTCTTAGCAGCCAAACTGATAAGGCTTAAAGCAGTGATTTTTAACTGATGCAAGCTTCAAAAATCTCAGAGTAAAACTTTCTCAAAATGCATTCGCCTTCTCCTTTACCAGGTTAAAATCACTACGTATAATGAGATCATTGAAGTGTGCTGTTGATGAGGATGTATTTCACAAGGTGAATGATAAGACAGCAAAGATAAGATTGAAAATCAACACTTTGGAAATTGCGGCCTCTATGGCAGAATGTGAAGTGAACCAAATGACCATATTTCACTCTACACTGTTCATTAAAGTACAAAATTGTGTTCACTTACAATAAGCACAGAGTATTACTCATGTCTTTAGGCAAGTCATTTAATCTGATCATCATCACTTGTAATTAGGAGGGTTGTTAAGAAAAGAAGCTGAATTAGGAGATACTGCCATGTAAAGAGAGGGGCTTTCACGAACATAGACTTTTGAACTGGGTTAGAGATGACATATTGCTTATTTTCCTGAAGCTAAGAAAAATCCACACACATTTTAAAACAATGTCAGGAGAACCATACATCCCAAAGTTCTAGGCTCTGCAGGGTATTCTCTGTGGATGTGGGCTAAGAACCCATATTTTGGAAGAAAAAACAATATGAAAAAAGGCATGATGGCATATGACATTTTTAAGAATTGGAAGTAACTTTCTATATCTGGACTTTATGGTATGTGGAGGACAACAGAAGATAAACCAGAAAGGCAGAAAACACTTCACAATGACTTTTCCAAGTGTGCTCTGAAGAACTATGTGGTCCCTCTAGTGTCACAAACATTAGATTTAAAATTTCACTCTAAAATGTGTTTTTACAAGGACCTACTGTATAGCATAGGGAACTATATTCAATCTCTTGTAATAACCTATAATGGAAAAGAATCTGAAAAAGAATACATATACATGTATAACTGAATCACTTTGTTGTACACTGTAAACTAACACATTGTTTTTATTTATTTATTTATTTATTTATTTTTGTGGTACGCGGGCCTCTCACTGTTGTGGCCTCTCCCGTTGTGGAGCACAGGCTCCGGACGCGCAGGCTCAGCGGCCATGGCTCACGGGCCTAGCCGCTCCGCGGCACGTGGGATCTTCCCGGACCGGGGCACGAACCCGTGTCGCCTGCATCGGCAGGCGGACTCTGAACCACTGCGCCACCAGGGAAGCCCCACATTGTAAATTAACTATACTTCAATTAAAAGATAATAAATGTTTTTAATCATTTAAAACAGTAATAAAAGTAACTGACAGAAATGTTTTATACCATGCAGAAAGGTAACCACTAATGCATGGACTTGTGTTCCCAGGTTGCCCTTTTTTTTTTTTGGATGAACTCAGATGAAACTTTCTCTAGCTGTCTCTGCTTAACTGAAGAATAACACGAGATTAAAGACAGGCAGTTAAAAACAACAACAACAAAAACCCTGTAAACATTTGTCTCTATTTCTCAGGCGTGACCCAAGATTTTTTTTTCAAAACCAAACAAAAAGGAAAAAAACAATAATGCTAATAGTAACAATAACATAATAGAAGCTCTCTTGTTCGAAGTTAAGAACTGTTAGTTGAAAACTGGTTAAATTAAAGAATCACAAGAAAAGTATATATGCCTTAAACTATTTGATTTCACTTAAAACATTTACATTTTTTTGCTAATCTTCTGCTATAAGGCCAAAACATTGTCCTTGTCACACTGATTGGAGTCCCAAGACTTTCTGACATTAAGACAGCACAACGCAACACCTATACTTTCTAGTTTTAACACACTTAGCGTAGCACAATCTGAGTGCAAAATCCTTATCCCTTTTATGATTCTCCCCAATCTTTTTATACTTGTTTGCTTACATCTAATTCTACAGAATTTGTTAACAATTCACGTTTATTGAATTTTCCAAAGCTCTCAGTTTAATTTTTCATAGAAACAACTTTCTTTCTTTCCACATATTTAATTAAATTACAGTCACTACAGGACTTCCCTGGTGGTCCAGTGGTTAAGAATCCACCTTCCACTGCAAGGGACACTGGTTCGATACCTGGTCGGGGAAGTAAGATCCCACATGCTATGGGGCAACTAAGCCCACACACCACAACTACTGAGCTTGCATCCAGCAAACTACAGAGCCCAAGCACTGCAACTAGAGAGAAGCCTGCATGCCACAACGAAGAGCCCACGCACCAAAACAAAAGATCCCGTGTTCCGCAACTAAGATCAGATGCAGCCAAAAATAAAATAAATTAATTTAAAAATTTTTAAATGAATAAATTAATTAGTCATTACAATACAAGTACTACTGATATAAACAGCACTGGAAATAAAGACAGCTGATCCTGGTGGCAACAGAAGTACGTGAGTACATCAGACAGCAGCATACTAGCCATATGCATTTTGAATGCTATGGGTATCCACATATTTTACAGGGTTGATAAATCCACAGAATTGGCCAGTAGTGAATTAACAGAACTTCTGAAAAATACGCGAGGTAATTCTTTACTAAGTTTGATATAAATCTTCAACTATCATCTATACACCAATTTAAAGTGATGGGTTCATCAAAACAGACTATTCCATTGATTTTATAAGTAATGTTATACATATTAACTTAAAAAATTATACTAATAAAATAGACAAAAGTCAATTTTATCAATTAGTGTTGTACTTATGATTTTGTTTGGAAAATTGGCCCAGGTTTTAAACCATGCAAGGGCCTTGAATGTAAATATATATGAATTTTGCCATAGCTATTTTCCTATCGCCACTTGATACAACTATTTTGACAATTTCTTTTTTACTCAGTGTCATCATTTTGACAAAAAGAAGCAAACAAAACATTTCTTAACTTTCAGCTTTTAAAATACGTACTCCATCTCCAAGCTTTATCTGAGGTTAAGGGGGATGTGCCTATTTTTTGCATTTTAAATGGATATTAAGATGTTGATTTTTTTGAAAATGTTGGAGCAGGTCAAAGTGGTCTGCTTTGATATGTAACACTTTGGCATCTGGCCTTAGCATGCAGTCTACTGGGAGCCATTGAAAGTTTTTAATCAGGTAAGGAACAGAATCAGATTTGTTTTATAATCACTTTTGGAGAAATGTGGCTAGATTAGAAGAGAAATTGGAGGTGGAGACAACAATGAAAAGATTATTGCACTGTCCACCTCTTGCCTGAACGAGGATATCAGCGCCAGAAACACAAAAGACTGATTTAACGGATATTCAAAAGTAGATTTAATAATTCCTGCTAAAATTTGGATTCTGGACAACAGGATAAGGAAGATGAAGATGCCCTTGAGGTTTCCAGCTCCAACAACTGGATGATCAAAATGAGAAATAAGAGACTCAGAAAGTGCTCAGCACCTGGAGAATAACTGAATCAGACAAAAACTCTTACTTCTCACATTAGATGTTTAACAAAAGCTTAATTTGAATTAACTCCTCCCACCAACCCAAGCCATAACAAGTTACAAACACAAAAGCCTTTTAAAAATCACTTTGGTCGGGCTTCCCTGGCGGCGCAGTGGTTGAGAGTCCGCCGCCGGAGGGGACATGGGTTCGTGGCCGGTCCGGGAGGATCCCACATGCCGCGGAGCAGCTGGGCCCGTGAGCCATGGCCGCTGAGCCTGCGCATCCGGAGCCTGTGCTCTGCAGCGGGGGAGGCCACAGCAGTGAGAGGCCCGCGTACCGCAAAAACAAAACAAAACAAAAAAATATCACTTTGGTCAATAAAAAAGATAATGGGCTCAGTTTCAAGATACCCAGAATGCAGCTGAAAATATAACACTATGGTAGTAGGCAGAGGCACTACCTCCCTCCTTCCTAATGGAGTGGAGATCCTATGAGTAGTCGCCAAGAGGATGGATGTGATTATTCAGGGAGAACATATAGAGCAGTAGCAGCACAGCTGAGAATGCAGACTAGAGAATGCCGGTATCTCTCTTCACAGAAAAAGGGCAGATGGAAGAAGAAGAGCCAGCTGGGATTAAAACTGGCTGAAATGGATGTAAAGCAAAGGCAGAAGTGACCTGACTTGGCTAAAGCAAGGATCAACAGATGAGACAGAAAGGATCTACACTGTGGATTTCAACTGGGCTAAGATGTTTGGAGTTTTCTGGGCCAAAGATTTTCAAATATCTGGGGGGGCTGGGAGGCTCAGACTTCAACTCTCCTCACAGGCATTCATTGTGGAGCACAGTTTAAAATCATTCCTGGGAATTCCCTGGCCGTCAGTGGTTAAGACTTTCACTGCTGAGGGCTAAGGTTCGATCCCTGGTTGGGGAATTAAGATCCCACAAGCCCCGTGGCACGGCCAAAAAAAAAAATCATTCCTATGGAGAGTCATGGAGAGTTTCTGGGCAGGAATTAACATGAATTGGGATGCCATGAGAAAGATAAATTGGACATCCCTGTGTAGGTTAAATTAGAAAAGAAAAAACATAGATTTTGGTAGCAACTATAGTGTCGATTTCAGAGGTAGAAATGACAGCCTGAATTAAGATGTGGCAGTTAGTGTGAAAAAGCTGCTTGAACAGGACTTTGCCAGTCTGAGGAGCTGGGCAGGTTTTGGTGGGAATTGAGACCCTTTTGGGAGTATTTATTTGAGAGGAGTGACACGGAGGCACAGGTTTAATGATGGATTAATTTGGCAGTGGTAAACAGGATTGGACAGCAGGTAAGACCGGAAGTAGACAAATAAATTTGTTGTAACTGCATAAGTGTTAAGTGAGAATGTGAAATAGCTTCTCATCGTCATTCCTTGGCAACATTCCACCGTCTTTTTCAGAATGGTGCTTCCTGTTTCTGGTCACCTGGTCCCAAGAGTTACTAGGACATGCTAGGGCACCCATCTAGATCAAGATTCCCCAGCTAGCACTCACCCTGCTCTGATCTAGGCTGGCATTCTACACAGCCCCTCCCTCCCATCCACCTCCAATTCCACTTTCATTTGCTTGCCTTCACCTCTCTCCTATTCTTCAGGTGAAGTAGAACATTTGGATGCTGTCAGAGCCATACACTATTTGCAGGTGTTTTCATTGTCCTATTCCCACCAAATCTAATAAAACAGATGGAATACTGGCCTAGGAATAAGAACTTGGTTTTAAACCTAGCTCTGCTACTGATTTGTGTGGTCCTGGGCATATCATTTCATCTTTTCTGGCCTAAACTTTCTTACCTTGAAAATAGGGACTATCAATTAGATTAATGATACTTAATTTTGAGAAACTATAAAAACTTTGAACCCCCTTCCTCAGGAGATTCACAGCTGCACATACAAAATCTACAAACTTCAGGAGAGTCATAAACCCCCTTCAAGGTATAAACTCTTCAAGGCAGTGTTCTTAAAATATGTGTACCAGGATCACCTGAAGTGCTTGTTAAAAACGCAATCCCAGACCCATCCCAAGAGATTTTGATTCACTACATCTGGGGCATAGGCCCAGTAATTTACATTTTTTTACAATGTTTTCCAGGTGATTCTGCTGCAGGTGGCCCATGCTGCACCAATATATCTAGAGAAACAAAGTACTTAAGGCACCCTTGCATTTCAAGTTAAAAACTGTGGAACAGGTGCTCACTAAAATTCTTTCTAGATCTAAAGTACTGCCTCTGTCTTTGTGGGTCTGTATCAAGATAGGGATGATAAATAAAAATTAACTTCCAGGTCTTAAATCTCAATAAGTGTTGGTACTACTAGCACAAACAAAAATATCTGAGTTGTCCCATTACAGTGGGGAAATTGGTACTAAATATATTTGTTTCAAGAGGGGAAGAAAAAGTTTGAGGGCTATTTACAATTTGTTAACTAGCTACTAAATGTTTACAAAGTCAAAATAAAATAAAATAAAATCCCAAATCTGGAATCTACAACTTTCTGAAGAAATGTAGGGCTAAGCAAGTGTCTCTGTGAACTGAAACTCTATTAAAATAATCAGATACCACACACAGCAACAGGTTTACAAGTATTTACAGAATAACAGGGTATGAAAATTATAGTGCAACAATTTGAACTACCCTACAACCCTACAATCTAATGAATCCCAGCTTATTTACTGTTGCTATGTACCTCTAATATAGAAGCAGAGAAGATGAACACGTTAACTAAGGTTTTTATTAAGCACCCACAACTTCTGTGGCACTTTGCATAAAGCATTTTACTTAATTCTCTGTGAAGGAAGTATCACTTCCACCATATAAACGAAAATAGTGAAACCCCAAAGATTCACAGCTAGTTTAGCCGGGTCTGAGAAAACTGGCCTCCTAAGCTGATCATTTCATTGTTATGATTTCCCGACGCCATTCTACCTATCATGTCCACCCCATCCACCTGTGTCAATTTCCACAGGCATCCTTCCAAGTCCTTTTACCGATCCCAGAGATGGCATGCATTTCTCCAGCAGAGACACCAGTCCTCGGCCCTTGCCTCAATTTCCCCGGCTAGGGCTCCAGAGCAGGGAAGGATGGAAGGGGGGGGTGCACCTTGCCCCGGTCTGAAGTCTCAGAGCATTGCCTTTGGGTAGCTCCGGAACAGAGCAGTGGAGCAGAAACCCGGCTCCCTTCTCACCCCTCCCCACCCCTCCCCGCGGACTGCCTCCCGGGCGCTCGAAAAGACGAAACCCGTCTGCAGCGAGGACTCGAAGCCGGGCCTACACCAGGTTTCAGAAGGCAATGAATAAAACTTCCCACAGCGCTCCTGCACTTTGCAGTTCCCCGCCGCAACCCGCAACGTAGAGGCCAGGCGTGACTGTGGGGCGGGAGAGGAAACAGCAGCAATGTTTACCTCCTGCTGGGGCCTGGCCGCTTCCGGCCTTTCCGGGTCTCCCATCGCGCAGACTCCGCCAGAGCTACGAGAGCAGAGGGAACCAAGTGCCTCAGGCCACCTCCACCTGGGACAGAACCAAGTGCCCGGCGGGTCCTCTGAGTCGGCCCCGACCCCTCCTACTCCTGCCGGCCCCGCCCCGCTCCACTCTATCGACCTCACTTTCTCGCCTGCCCATTGAGGGACTGTCCCAGCTCTGGCCTGGCCCCGCCTCCCCGGCCTCAGGGACCTGCCTGTTCCGGCCGGCCCCGCCCCACTCCGCTGCGCCGGCCCCGCCTCCCGCCTGTTTAATGAAGGTCCCGCCCTGCTCCTGCCGGCCCCGCCTCTCCCGCCTCCGGGCCCCGCCCCGCGGCGCCGGCCCCATCTCCCGCCTGCCCAGTGAATGTCTCTCTCTGCGCCTGCTGGCCCCGCCTCCCACGCCTCCAGGCCCTGCCTCTTCCGGCAGGCCCCGCCCCCACGCCGGCCCCGCCCCCCGCTCGCTCCCTGAGGAACTCTCCCAGAGCTACCGCCGCCGGCACGCCCCCCAGTTTGTGGCCTGAGGGGTTCGGCTATCGGCCCCTTCCGCGAGGCCGTCCTCTAGTCGCGCGGTGCAGGAGGTGCCCGGACCTGCCAGGTCATCTCTCTTGGTCAAGACTCTCCAGCTAGCTCTCACCTTGCCTCAGGACCACGGTGTGTCGCGCTAACACGGCCTGAGAGACCGCCAGGTAGCGGTCGGACCACACACAGGAAGAGCTAAAGAGGAGAGAGCGTACCGCTCTCCGCGTGTGGAGCGGTAGTGAGGCGAAGCCACGCTCTCGGTGAGAAAAGAGGACCGCAGCGTTACACCACTGGTGAAGAGAGAAGGCTGCCCTGCTTTGTCCTTAAGCGACCGAGAAGAGGTCGGCGGAAGGTGTGCGGGAACGGGTCGGTGGGGCGTCGGGGTGAGGAGGGGGGCGAATGACGGAAGGCGGGGACGGGGTTTGAAGGCTCTGTGGAACTGGTTCAGCAAACTAAGCTTGTAGTGACACTTGCGCTTAGCAAGTGCCGGGCGCCGTACCGCGCTGTGAACCGAGCCGCGGGGTACTGCGACGCTCGTGTGCCGTAAACAGCGATGCCCCTCCAATAACGGACCAGGAACTCGGGCTTGGGATAAACCCCTGAGGTTACCCAGCCCGAAGGCAGTAGGCTTCCAGGCTCCCTGCGAAACGCTCTTTTCAAGGCCGAAAGTCAGAGTGTGGAGCGGGGACAGACTCCGGGGCTGCCGATGGCCCCGCCTCTCAGAGGAGCTATCTAAAGATAACTGCCCACAGAAAGAAAAAATAGTTGGGTCCAAAAACTAGGAATGAGGTGAAAGAGAGATTTCTTTAAGTATTTTGAAGCTGGAATATTGAGGGAACCTTGTCATGCCTTGAACAACATGCACCTGTTCTGTGATTAGCTGATGAGGGAAGTGTGGTTAAAACAGGGTAGAAGATTAAGCTTTGAAAACGATGAAAGCTCTTTCTCAAACCTGACCTAGAGTTGGGGGATGAGAGGTAGCCTTTCTTACTTAGGCAACTACTAGGGGCCAAGTGCTGAGTAAACACTTTTACAAATAGTAACTTTAAATAATAGTTAAATAAATACTGTGAGGAAACCGAGTCTTAAGTTAGATAATTCATCGTAGGCCATGTGGCAAATAAACTAAGAGCAAGGATTCTACCATTTAATTAAAGTCATCAAACAGTATGCTGTATGTCAGGCATCATATTCGTATTAAAGATGCAAAAGTGAATGAGACTAGTGGAAAAGAACGTGGATCCTGGAGCCATATCATCGTGGGCCTGAATTCTAGCTCCCTTGTTTATTAGCTGTGCTACTTTGGACAAGTTACTTCGCTTCTCTGAGACTCAGTTTCCTCAATTCTTTCCTCATAAGATTGTTGTGTGGATTTACTAATGTATTACTTGTAAATATAATAGCTTCCAAGTACACTAGTAATCAAGCCATCCTAGAGGTCATGGAACAGGAAGGCTCAATTGAGTCACTCGAATCACGTTTTATTAAATTAATTGAAAACATACATTAAGGGGAAAGAGATGGAGTAGCTAACCTATTTAAGATAGGATGTGGGGAGGGTAGGGAGTGGAAGGACCATACTATTCAAATGTTAATCAGTATTCATATATCCTGTCTTTGTTGCATCAGCCTTCCCGGCTGGTGGTATAGTTACAAAGGCCAGAGTTGAGGATGAGCATGGGGTTCTCAGCAGTGGAGCCAACATACACTTGCTCTTTCGGAGGGATGCAGGAGCAAGGAGGCCTGGTCACAGCTGTAACTTGCCTAAATTAGCCTGCTGAGCAGCAATGTGTTTTATCTGTGTTTCTTGGGAAAAGCTTATGTGAGGCCAGAATAGATGTCACCAATTAGTGGTTGATTTAGGGGTTACATAGTTATTTGTCAATCTGGAAGTGACATGATCCTTAAAGTATGAATGTTTAAGAATTACTTGGTCCTTGCAGCCCTTTCTATCTGTGACACTCTCATTTGTTCCATTATTTTTGTCTATGTTCAACACATTTATGTTGTGTTTCTTCTATCTTTAACATGCCTCACAGGTTAATAACTTGTTTACTATTTATAATTAACATGTCTTATGAATCTCCTTATGTCTTGCAAGCTATTTGCTCCCATACTTAGTTTCTTTCCAGTTTTATATTAGAATTGAATAACCTTAATACAGCAGAAACACATTTCAGTGCTTATTATATTGCCTGAAGCGTAGTAGGCAGTATGTATTGGTTTCCCTCAAGGTATTCAAAGTTAACAGGAAGAGCAAATGTAAAATATTATATGTGCAACTGAAAGATCTCTGGGAGTAGGAGGATTCTACATCTTCATAGATTCTGTGGCATATTATATTTTCCTAATATATTTGGAAACATTTCTCATCCCAAACACTGTTCCCATCAAAAGGTGGAGTCTTTTTTTTGTTTAATAAATTTATTTATTTATTTTTGGCTGTGTTGGGTTTTTGTTTCTGTGTGCGGGCTTTCTCTAATTGCGGGCAGCGGGGGCTACTCTTCATCGCGGTGCGCGGGCTTCTCATTGTAGTGGCTTCACTTGTTGCGGAGCACAGGCTCTAGACGCGCAGGCTCAGTAGTTGTGCCTCACGGGCTTAGTTGCTCCGCGGCATGTGGGATCTTCCCAGACCAGGGCTCGAACCCGTGTCCCCTACATTGGCAGGCAGATTCTTAACCACTGCGCCACCAGGGAAGCCCAAAAGATGGAGTCTTATTCCCCTTCTGCTGTGTTCTGAACATTTGTGTCCCCAAAAATTCTTAAGTTGAAAACCTAGTGCCCAAGGTGATATTTAGGAGGTGAGGCCTTTGAAAGGTGATTAGGTCATGAGAGTAGAGCCTTCATGAATGAGATTAGTGCCCTTATATTGGATTGTTTTTCACTACTGAGTTTGTATGGGTTCTTTATATGTATTTTGGATATTAACTCCTTACCAAGTGTACGATTTGCAAATATTTTCTCCCGTTCAGTAAGTTGCCTTTCCATTTTGTTGATGGATTTCTTTGCTATGCAGAAACTTTTTAGTTTGATATAGTCCCACTTGTGTATTTTTGTTCTTGTCTTTGCTCTTGGTGTGAAATCTAAAAAGTTATTGTCACGACCAATGTTAAAGAGCTTACTGCCTCTGTTTTCTATGATTTGAAATATATTTCAAAACTCAATATATTTTGAGTTAATTTTTGTATATGATGTAAGATAGTGGTCCAGTTTCATTCTTTTGCACGTGGCTGTCCAGTTTTCCTAACACCGTGTATTGAAGTGACTATTGTTTCTTCATTAAATATTCTTGGCTCCTTTGTCAAATTAATTGATGAAATATGTGTGGGTTTATCTCTGGGCTCTCTATTTTGTTTCATTGATATGTGTGCCTGTTTTTATGCCATACTACAATGTTTTGATTATAATAGTTTTGTAATGTAGTTTGAAATCAGGGAGCATGATACCTCCAGCTTCGTTGGTCTTTCTCAAGATTGCTTTGGCTATTTGGGGTGTTTTGTGGTTTCACATAAATTTAGGATTGTTTATTTTATTTCTGTGAAAAATGCCATTGGAATTTTGATAGGAATTACATTGAATCTGTAGATTGCTTTGGGTAGTATGGACATTTTAACAATATTATTTTTTCCAGTTCATGAGCATGGAATATCTTTCCATTTATTTGTGTTCTCTTCACTTTCTTTCATTAATATCTTACAGTTTTTAGTGTTCAGGTTTTTTACCTCCTTGGTTAAATTTATTTCTAGATATTTTTCTTTTTGATGCAGTTGTAAATGAGATTGTTTTCTTAATTTCTGTTTCTGATAGTTTCATTGTTAGTGTATAGAAACACAGATTTTTGTATACTAACTTTGTATCCTGCAAATTTACTGAACTCATTTACTCTAAGGTTTTTTGGTGGAGTGTTTTGGGTTTTCTATATATAATATCATCTGTAAATAGTGACAGTTTTACTTCTTCCTTTCCAATTTGAATGCCTTTTATTTCTTTTTTATTGTCTAATTGCTCTTGCTAGGCATTTCAGTATTATGTTGAATAAGAGTGGTGAGAATGGGTATCCTTGTCTTGTTCCTGATCTTAGACAAAAAGCTTTCAGCTTTTCACTGCTGAGTATGATGTTAGCTGTGGGCTTGTCATATATGGCCTTTGTTATGGTGAGGTACATTCCCTCTATACCCATTTTGTTGAGAGTTTTTATCATAAATGGCTGTTGAATTTTGTTGAATGCTTTTCCTGGATCTATTGAGATGATTATGTAGTTTTTATACTTCATTTTGTTAATGTGATATAATCACATTGATTTGCAGATGTTGAGCCGTTCTTGCATCCCTGGAATTGATCCCACTTGATCATGGTGTGTGATCCTTTTAATATATTGTTGAATTTGGTTTGCTTATATTTTGTTGTGGATTTTTGCATCTATATTTATCAGTGATATTGGCCTGTAATTTTCTTTTCTTGTGGCATAC